TAGCCTTTTAATAGAATTATAAAGACACCTTGTCGACCCAAATCTTGACTTCACTTCGCTTCGAAAAGTTTGAGATTGTCCCAAAACATGTCCTTACTAACCGAGCAAGGCCTAACATAAACGAACGTTATAATAGCCGAAAAACCACTCCCTGAAATCTCAGTAGTAAGACTTTGATCAGTACAGGATAAGGTAGTTGCACTAAGCGACAAAGAATTCCAAAGTAGAATAAGGCCACCCGCCATACCCGACGCAGCAACCTCATAAACTCCATCAAACTTAAAACGGCGAGCCAAACAAAGTAGAACCCACCCCCCAATCTGCTTTAGTCTCCAATAGACAAAGGACATCAGGCCTCTCACGACGAAGAAAAAGTAGTAGACAATCAATGTATATTCCACTATTTGAGTTCGGAGCATCAATCATTTTTGATTGACTCTTTATTTCCTTGGGCCTTGGTAATGAGAATCCCTTTCGGTAACCAGAATGAAAACTCATTAGTCCCTTATAAGGCAGCGACCGTCAGCTACGGGAAGAGATAGAAATGATATTAAGGATGCTCATCCTAGGAGAATCTCAACCAGTGGAGTGAGTCATGTTGTTCATTGGATTCTCTTTAGAGTTTCTTAATGAGTCGCGTAGCTTAGTCCCGACGGTGTCGATGATTCAGATCTTCATCCTGGATTGTGGAAGAGGGGCAACTAACTGACTTTTCATTGTGTTGATGAGGAAAAGAGCTATGAGCAGTCTACCACTACCGCAAATAGCCTCTCTCCTGCTAGCAGCCTGGTGGATTTGATCATGTTCTCGGTTAGCAGGCGAAGCTCCCTTTTCTTTTCCGCCTTATTTATGTATACTTTTAGTGTTCTATGATGTTCTTAGGGTTGCGTATGAAGGGCTTCATACGGTGTGCTTTCATTGCGGGGTGGTCGGTCATAGAGCGGAGTTTTGTCCTTTGAGAACTGGTGGAGGGGCCAATACAGGGGCCAGCATGGCTGATTCCCAAATTCAAAGACCTTCTCAGACCGCCCGTTAATGGTACTGCTTTGGCCGCGATTCGGCCTACTCCCCCTCCGGTTACTCCCGGTAATACCGGCGTTGACAGCTCTTTTGACCGCTACTTATAAGAACATCATAGCCAATACAAACTTTCGAGACAAGGGGCTTTTGAAGATCAACTTCAACGCAAACTCTAGCAAAACGTGCCTTCACGGCCAAGGCCTTCGTGCTATCAATTCTTAACGGAGTCCCAATGTGCTTTGCTGCTTCTAGGAGCAAATCCTACTCAAAGTACTCTAACAGACACTCCGGAAAGTGAATCCATACCGCAGTTGAAGGCACAATAGCTTCTGAGGAACGGAAGTGAGGCTTCCATCTTTGAACTGTCAAATAAAGGTCCATTATCTTCCACGGACCACCCCGTCATTACTTTCGTCCTATCATCCATCTCTTCGAACTTCACAGCGTAAAATCCATGTCCCAGATCAATCAAAGTGAAGTCCCCCATCAATTTCCACATAGCCGTGACTCTGGTTAGTAACACATTGTAAGATATAGTCTTCCCAAGCAACTTGATTATCAAGGCTTGACGCCATGGTTCCCTCAATGATTTCTTCCTTTCTTTAGTTCATTTTACCATCGGGATGCCCTCAGTCACCGCTTCATCAACTTCATCATCGGAATCCTCTTCCGTAGGTAGTCTCTACTATTTTCGTGCCATGGAAGGTCTCTCCTGGAACCTTCGATCCTAACAGTTTGTCCTTAAAGGATGTCTCTCCAAACACAGCCTGGCCATCTGATTTGACTTTCTTGTTGCTTCTTTCCTGTTGATCAACTTCCTCCGGCGGCGGGTATTCCCATCGGTCATCGAAATATCGCCCGACATTTTCGGAGCAAGGCTTCTTCTTAAGCTAGTTTATTATTTGAACTAATAAACGCGCTATTTCTTAGGTAGTAGCGAACGGGGCAAAGTAGGAATTACCCTTTTCCGAATAGTCTCCTGTCTTCTTTTGGCTTGCCTTCTCTATCTAGTCTTGGCTTCTATAGTCTTGCATCGGTATTCAAGCGGATACGTCAGATGGTTCGATAGGCTTTGAGTCGTCTAACAACAAGCTGAAACATCTTCTAACTTTGAGACATAAGTCGAAGATAAGAGCGAAGCTAACAAAGAAAGTAGATTCTTTGTTGAGTCAACTGGGATTGCAGCATCGAACAACGATTCAGTTCTATCAGCTAAGGAAGAAGGGCTAGTTTATTTCCTGCCCTACTCTCTCTAATCAGATGCCTATTCGTTCCTTTTATACAATGTTGAGTCATCGTGGGATGAAGCCCCTACTTCTAAGCTACTAAGCTCACAGTAAGCTCCTTTAGTCGGGGAGTAATCGAAACAAGGGGGAATAGAATATCTCATTTTATACTTTTCACTTGTATTATTCAACTCCCTCATCTTTAACGCCCAATTGCAATGAATAATCCTCTACCTGCTTCTGGGAGTGACTCATCCTTTGGACCTTGGCTATTGGTGCCAAAGAGAGTTAGAAGGCATTGAGTAGCTCAGGGATTTAGCTTCTTGTGATCCTCCTGATGAAGTACTTGACTTTATAGAGTAAGCGTAGCTAAATCTTTAAATATAAGGCAATGATGAATCAATAAGATAAGACTAAGACAGCGGAAGGGCTACGAAGACCAAGGAGTCATGAGTAGTGATCCCGTACTTAGTGTACTGGGATAGTAGGGAAGAAAAGCACCCGGACGACCTCTACAGATTTGCCCATTCCGCACCCCTTTCGGCATTGACTCTTACCTTATATAGTCATGCCCTGCGGGTTCAAAAAAGCAGGATACGAAGAAAATCTGAAGAGAGATGTTGCATAAAACCGTAGAATGCTACGTGGATGACCTAGCCGTAAAAAGCCATAAAAGAGTCGACCACTTGGCAGATTTACGAAAAGTCTTCCTTAGGCTTTTAGGTAACACAACTTGAAGATGAACCCTCTAAAGTGCTTCTTCGGAGTATCGTCAGGGTGTAGTTCTTGCCCTCGGATTCATAGTACGAAAGAGTGGGATTAAGGTGTATCCCGCCAAAACGAAAGACATACTGGGCGTTTCCTACTAATAGCAAGGAATTGAGAGGCTTCCAAGGACGGCAGGCACCCTCTGCCGCCTAGTCTGGTTGCCTTTGCTTCCTCAAGTGAGAGGCACACACTTTGACTCAGCGTGATATCTTTCCGACGGCTCTTGTTCTGAATGGTATTGAAGTTTGGTTCCAGAGCCGGGGCAGCCCGGGGACGACCGAAGGATGGTGGCCCTGCTTGGACTTCACGGTCCTAAGGAAGCATGCAGGGCTAAAAGCGCCACAGTTATCCACACGGATTAGTCACCCGTTCTCTTCTCAGCCTGCTCCGCTGACAGGCTAGCTTCTTATTCGTCTTCCCTCACCAGATAATATTGGACGTATTATCAGTCGAGCATCTTTGAACCTTACTTTCCTTATTGTGTGCCTTGACGGAGGATAGATTCTATGTTTCATGTAGACTTCATCTGCCCTTCCTTTACTCTACTATCAATGAACAAGGATAATGTTGAAGTCTCAATTACGTAAATCCTCTCCTTATGGTCGAGCATCTTCGCACCTCGTATTAGAAGTCGACTCAATTACCTTTCTTCCTCTCCAACTCCTCTCCTTTTAGTCGAGTGACTGCATACCTCTCAAATCCCATTTTTTCATCGACAGGTAGGGTGAATTCTAAGGTTCCTTATTCCGGTTGTAAAGCGGAAGAAGCCCACACCCCAGCCCCACCAGCAGCCCGCGTTTCCGACCCGAAAGGAATTGAAAATGAAAGAAGAATCTGTGTGCACTATCTATGGAGTGGAGTGACTATCCAACATCTCCTCTTCCCTATCTCTCCCTTTTTTGCCTTCGGCTATTACTATTTTATTATATAAGGCAAGGCTTGGCCCAAGATTGGATTTGTTTGAAAACCTCCACTTCGACGTTTGAGTCTGATAGTTCTTCCTATTTAATGGTTCCCGCTGTCCGTGTAAAATATCATATAGAACAAAGATCATGTCATCCGCATAAAAAAACGTTAGGAGCCGTGTTCATGTAGTAGATGGATTTCATGGGTGATCACTACGCATTTAAAGTCTTTTCAATGGAGAAGAATGGCTCCATGCGTTAGATTCTTATCTTATTCCGGATTAATTCTACAATGTCAGCTTTAACATCACCTTTACTGAGACTGCTTCTGAGACAATTATCATTGCCTTAACCTTAAAGAGTCTTATCATTAAATAAATTCATTCGGTTCCTATCTAAGATATACGCGAGAAATTGTGGGAGCTTATGACTAACAAGGATCAAAACGAAATTATGGCTGCTGTGTCAACATCACAAGTCATGCTATATCACCATTCTTCGTCAGGGTCGATGTAATTGAGGAGCGGTAGCTCTGACCAAACTTTGAC